TATTCTCAGCTGCATTTGAATAAAGCACCAAATCCACACTGTTTTACTTTTAAGCTTAAATTTCAAAACTTACATTTTAACTACTGATTTTATCTACTGCTCCTTTCTTTTTTCCATTTTAAATCATGCTTTTTATTTGTTTTTATTTTTCAATGTCTCTGTAAAGCACTTTGAATCACTTTGCTGTTGAATTGTGCTATATAAATAAACTTGCCTTGCCTACTCTAGGTTAGGTATTCCCTGTGCTTGACATTTGGTATGAGGTGTTCGAGGTGTGGTTTTTACCAAATATGGTTTTGTAGAGACAAATTTGCTGGAACCCCCACTCCTGGGAAGGTTGTGACATTTTTGTTGTTTTAACACAGCTGAATGCTGCAGAACAACAAACTGTCAAAACGTCTGCTTTTACAGACAAGGTGGTGATCGGTTAAAGTTCATTTGAATAGCAGCGCTGACTGCTACTTACTTTCTCAATCCTGTTGATGTTATTTTCTGTCCTACTGTAGGACAGAACTGTACAACTGTAGCTTGCCTCCACCAGTGTGTGAATGTGAGAGTGAATGAATAGTGGAATTGTACAGCACTTTGAGGGCCCCCGAAAAGCGCTATGTAAATGCAATCCATTATTTATTTATTTTTTTTAATGTTTTAATTTATGCACATTTCCATAAGAATAAGTAAGTTTCCTGTAAGTGGCATGTAGGCTAATGCCCAAAGAAGGGAGCTCTTTGGATATATTTTTTCAGCAACACAAAAATAAAGTTGCCAATAAATAATCTGTCAGTGTCATCCATGATGGATGGTCATAGGGATATCCACACACTGGCTTCTTGGTGAGTAAATGAAGCTAAATCAAAGGTTACAACCGTATGCAGGATGAAGAGAAGAAAATATGTTTCTTCATATACTGTCCATCAGTTTCTTGTTAAACCTACCAGGGATCAAAACATTACTGCAAATAAATTTCTTTCTGCTCTGTATTAATGTGTGATTGATTGATTGGTAATTTATTTCAACATGTGAACAATATACAAGTACATTTAGAAAAGAAAATAAGAAAAAAAAATACTATACAAATTACATACAAAACCCCCCGTTCTGATTAATTTACATGTTGAAAGGGAGTGGGAAGAAGTAAACACTTATTTAATCTTAACCCCTTTGCCATAAATTATCAGTTAATATTTAGTCAGCTTCCTTACTGATATAATTTGTAATAAAAATAGTGAACAGATTTCTGATATACTATATACTATAATATCACATCATGAGTTTTTTTGTTTGTTTTTTAAATAGAGACATTCACTTAATTTAAATATTTTCCTTTTCTTTATAGTTTGAGAAGATCATATTTTTATAACACTTTTTGAACAGTTTTATGTTTGGACATTGCTTTAATTCCATATTCAGACTGTTCCAGACTGTGTCATAAATGAGCAATAATCTGTAAAAACAACACTATGATCCCTTACCATTAGCGAGCTGGAAACAGCGATCAGCCTCTGAAACGCTGCTCTTAAACATGTACATACAGCGACCCCTGCTGGTTGCCATATATACATAAAAATCAAAATTAAAAATTCATCTTTGCGGGCAACTGATGGAAATAAAATAAAAACAGCAGCACAGTACGGAAGCTGTGATGAACTGTCGTGCAGGGCGGTTTCATCGTCAAACCTACTGATTCAACACCAGTCTACAGGTAGAGGTCATTATGGAGTCAACTCAGTCACAAGATGTGATAATGCTTTAATAATACAGACATGTTAGTGCCATATGAACAGAAGACGTTTGTGTGAACTGTGTATACAAAGAAAAAAAAAACAGTAACACATTAAATAGTTTTGGAACAACACTGTCACACAAGCAATGGAAGTAACTACACTGCAAATTAGATGCTGATAGATATGAAACATGGTTTAGGATAATAATGATAAGAATGACTTTTAATTGTTGAACTGAGATTTTTAATGCAGCCAGAATTTACAAAGAGCTTTTATTTATTAATTTTTTTAAACAGACAGCTCTTTGGATGTTGATGTACGAAGCATCTGTCAAACTAACGCAAATACACTTTAATTAGAGCCGTCTGTGCAAATTAGCATTTTTGTGGATGAATTCCTGTTTATTTCTTCGATATTAATATGAAACATTTGATAACACACGCTACAGAACAGCTTCTTAATAGGCAACATTGTGGAGAGCTGCAACTCTCAGTGAGCACTATAGGTGTCGTTCACTGCACGTACCAGTGTGTGAATGTGTGTGAATGGGTGGATGACTGGATGTGTAAAGCGCTTTGGGGTCCTTAGGGACTAGTAAGGCGCTATACAAATACAGGCCATTTACCATTTTTAATTCTGCGTCAGTTTACGCATAACCAACAATTACGGAGACGGAGAACATGAGCGGACAGTTACTATTGATCAAAGCCTAAACACTGGCTCAAACCCGTTTGTGTGTCCAATCACATTCATTTTAGCAAAGCGGCTTGCAGAGAGGAATTAGAGAGCTAAAATAAATCACTAAACTTGACTAATTTGTTTATTCAATGTTGCTATATCGCTAGGTGGTTAACATTCATCTGTCATGTAGGGACTGGGCTTGTGGGTTCAAAAATGATACAAGTGAACAAAGCCTGAAAGACTTCTACGTGAACTTCCGCTGGAAACATCACAGAATCACAAAGACTCCAGATCCCACTCAAAAATCCACATCACATCTTATTTCAAACTAGGAGAAGGAATGCTGGCCAAACTTAACAATACTAGTCCAAGTCGCCTAAAGAAATGTCACAAATGTAAATAACATAAAACATTATCTGTCAAACTTTGTTACAAGTGCTCTTCAGAAACCGAAACCGGCTCTGCTGGAAAGGGAGGTGCAGTTTGAGAGTTAAGCTCTAGAGACAGAAAGACACAAAGCAGCACTGAGAGGGTGGAGAGAGGAATGTGAGGCGCTGGGATGGTGTGGACGGAGGGAAAACTCTTCCTCTTGTGCTCCGCATCCTCTGCTTCGAGCATTGAATTACACCCACATCTGGACAAAACATCTGCACTACTGAGCCCCAACGCCACTTATATAGGTCATCCATTCAAAGGAGCAGATATGCAAGCAATGACCAAAAAACAACATCAGCAACAACAAAAAAAAGTATAAAATGCATCAGTGCGGAGACAAGGAATTGCTAAGTAACACACGCTGTAATCCTGTAAACTTTGATTGTAACGATGGCAGTGAAGGATTTAAGAACGCATCTAAAGCACAGAAGAAAAAGGAGGAAAGAAACCTGCCTTGAAACGGTTCGCCAAACCGTTTCAGTGGGACAGTCTTTGGAAGAAAACACAAGAGTGACTGCCAAGGCACGGAAGTCCCTCTAATTGTTATTCACAGTTGGCTTGACAGCAGTGGTGAAAGCTGGTTTCAGATTTGGCACAAATAAGTGAGGAAACTGCAAAAGCGACACAATAACACACCGACACAGGCATTCCTTAAACAAAGATCCGTGTAACAACATTTGTCACTGTAGAGTAAGTGGGGAGAAAAAAATATGGCATCTCATCATTACACACATTAGTAGGGCAATAATCACAAGTGTTATTCGTATTAAACAGGAAATAATTGATTATTGTTATTAATTCACATAATTAATGATCAGGATTAATATACTTTAAAAAAAAAACTATATTTAGGTGGAAGGTCTTTCTGCAGGACACATGAGCTGTTTGAACCCCCAAATGCATCCAGATAACATAATTATGGTCTTTTATTTTTTTCAAAATTAACAAATGTTGAAAATTTGGAGGAAAGTGTAAAAGTGAATGATCAAAATCATAAATTACAAATACAAATGATTTTGTTAAATAAACGTGCCAATCTTTTAATGGAAATTCTTCTTTTAGGGTGATCACAAAATTCTCAGAACATGCAAGCACACCACTTACTTTAAATGGAAACACTATCCTTATTTAACTGAGCTTTTACCCTGAATAATACCCAAAATGACATACGCCGACACTGTATGTATGATTGATCATTTTCATGCATAATCCAGCCTGTGTGGAGTTAGATACGTAATTTTGCCTGTGTAAAGACAGGAGATTGTAAAAAAAAAAAAAACAACAACAACTGAGGTGTAGACTTTCAGCTTTGATTAAAGGGATTTGACAAATATTTTGGATGAATTGTTTAGAAATTAGACATTTTCAGAGCCTCAAAATTAATTTGACAACATAGCCAAGGTGAGAGCTGTTCACTTGTCATCAATGACAAATGAAGTAGACAGAATATCTGGAGTGTTAAAATTTGTATTACATAGCTTTTCATTGTAATTTTAAATATGAACTTCAGAGAGATTAGGCTAGAAAAACAAAACCCACCAGTGAGGTAGCAAAACCTTTAGGAATGGTCAGATCAACAATCTGATACTTTCTAAAACTACGTGCTGGCCAGGTAAAGAACACCAAAAGACCACAGAAGACAGCTGAAGAATTTTTTTCTCAATGATTTAAAAAACACAAAACAAAAACCAAACAACAAAAAACCTACTTTGAACCACTGAAGTCGATAACACCCTTGAGGCAGTCAAGGACTACAATCAAGAGATGACTTCATGAATGGAAATACAGAGGGTCTTACAACAACGTGCAAACCTCTAGTTACACTCAAGGCAGCCATAGACTTTGCCAGAGCGCATCTAATAGCCTGCACGATTCTGAAAACTGAGAAATATGGGGAAGGAAAGGAACGGCTCATGATCCAAACCATAAAAAAAAAGAAAAAAAAAAAAAAAAATAATAACAAACATGACACAACTTTGTCCCACTAGTGTCTATTTAAAAAACAAAACCCTAAACCCTATAAGTCCTAAAATGTTAATGCAAATTTTTTGTTAAACCTCTTAAATCTATGCTGCAAGTCTGCACTTCAGTCAAGTGTTGATTGTTTGATTTAAAGTCCACCATGGTGATGTACAGAAAAAAAGAAAAAAAATTAACATCTTGCCCAAATGATCTTAACTGTATATGCGGCACAAAGCTGGACAATCTTTTTAATGCACATTGTGATGTTGGTTCATTGGTGTGCCAATTTTGAAGAGGCGCTGTTGGCAGATTGGATGCTGGGGTAGACACGACTGTAGTCTGAAGGCAGCACAGTCCCATTTAAACACTGCTAAAAATGCAACTTTCTGTTTTTAAGCAAAGCCCGTCAGTCCTAAGTGATTAGTCAGTGTTCAGTTTTATAAGCACCAGCCCTGGTATGTTGTTATCACCAGTGTTATGTTAGAACTGGGACCAAGCTGTTGTCATAGGAAACCAAAAAACACAAATAAATGCTGTCTTCTTTTGCCAATTGTGAATTTTAACAACAGTCCGTAATCAGAATGCATTTTTCTTCAGGTGATGTATCAGAATGCAGTGACATTTTATTTAAAAGTTACAAACAAGTGTTCCAGACAAAGACACCACAGTATAACCATATTGCACAACAAAAATCCATCAACATTTCCAAAAAATACTGACAAAGAATTCATGACATCTTGCTTTTTTCCTCCACCCCGCCTTTTTTTTCTTCTCCTTAAACAGCCGAACAAAAAAAGGAAACCCTCGAAATAAACACTCTTACTCAATCCTTTTCTGCTTTAACTTCCTCTTCTTTCTTCTCGCTGACGGCAGCATCATTTTTTTCCACATTTTCCCCAGCCTCAGCATTGGACTTTGGCTTCTCTTCCTCCTTCTTGGGTTCAGGAAGAAGGATGACTTTCCCAATATTTTGGCGTTCGTGCATGCGCTTCATGGCTTCAGTCACCTGAGAAGAGACAGGGGAGCAGAGCAGATGTTCACATTGGGCAGTAAAGTGAGCGCATCAGTCATTTAAACGCAGCCAAAAAACTATTTGCGAGTCACTAAAACCCAGATAAACACAATCTGCTGTAAAGTTTCTCACTGGGCAATAACAGAAAGTTCTTGTTTGAATGTTTAAGGGGATGGGGAAAAAAAAAAAAAAACAACAACAAAAACAAAAAACAACACAGATTCATACCAACTTGGCCACATATGGCACAACAATGACTTCCAGTTACCTTACAAATACACAGGCACACCACAACATGTATAGGGTGCTTTGCTTCTGCCCTGTTTAGTGTCCACTATTTCTAGAAGGAAAGCTTCGGCTTTTACAACTATCTGCTTCCCTACATTCATTTCCTGCTTGCTAAATTTGGTACTGGAAACCTAACCTACATATTAGAGAACTGCAGGAAGGAAGTGCAGCTGATGAGTGAAAAGGCAATAAAAACCCAAAAAAACTGAGACTATACATAGCAGCAAAAGACTGATCACTATGGAAGATTTAAGCAGCTTTAATTGAAAGGTGAAAAAAGTCTGCCACTTGCTGGATTAGTCACTGCCCAGCCAAATAAGTCACAGGCTAATATTTAATTCACCCGCCTTTAGGTTTGATGATGGCGCATGTTTAGACAGCATCGTTTGGATGAGGCTAATCAAAGTCACATTTATTTCTATCCAGGGTGGCATTCCAAAGATTCCTAGTGGGGTGAAATTCTGGACCGTGGTGAAACTGACATGTAATGTTCCCCAAACTGCTCTCTCATTGTCATCTCGGAACACGTCTGTATCATCAAGGGAGAAAAAGATGGGACTGATGGGAAAACCTGGCCATTCAGTGAATTCAAGCAGTCAGACAACCCCCTTTTTTTTAATTTATTTTTTTTGAATAACTTTTGAATAACATCACTGAATGCAGACCAGACTAACTGAAGTACCACCAGTTCACAGCACTGACCCTGCAGGCACATATGGTAGGCACTAAGCATCACTTTATTCACCCATCTTCTTACCCTGACACACCCATCACTGGGGAACAGGGTGAATCAGAATCAGACCACAAACCCTTTCAGTTGTTCCAGTACCGTCTTTTATGCTCTCTAGCAAACTAAAACTTCTATCCCTAGCTAGCCTACCTGTAGCCTACTTGACTTTTCTTAAGGCTACATGCTTAGTCCCAATCCCTTGAATTGTCTTGTGCACGTGGAAGGTGCTCTTATCTTGACTAGCAAACACAGCTGTGAGCTTTCCTGTTGCAATCTCTGATCACAACCATTCAAGATTCTTTGCCTGCACTCCACCCATCCTTGCCAACATTTCTTCCTCAAAGATAAAGTTTCACAATTCTTCTAGATTTTAATAATGTTTTGGGCCATTATCCATTACCCATCTAAAACTGGAGCAATGCCTTTTACACAACCCAAGGATTTGCTAAAACCCGACCCTGATTCTTTAAGAAATGAGAAGCTGCGTATGGCATCACTTATGAATAAATAACTTACTACCAGCTGAAATGCATCAATGACTACAATAATTATCCAGTGGAAGGCTCTTACCCATTCGAGAGCAAGATAAATGTCAATGTATACTTCAATATGCAGTAAAGTAAATACAGAAGCAGTTCCAACAAGCATCTTCAAAAACTAGGAACTGTTTTATTAGACAATTTCTTTTACACTGCAAACCCGATCAGACTTACCTCCTCAAAGTGATAGCTGGAGTCAATGCGGGGCTTGATCTTTCCCTGCTTGTAGAGCTCAAGCAGCGTAGACATAGTCCTGCCGAAGAGCTGCTCATCAGTGATGTATCCCAGGTGGAAGCCGCTGACAGCTTTGTTGGACTGCATCAGTTTCATGGTGTTCAGAGAGAGCTGGTTATACCAGGTCTTTGCCATGGCCAGCAGGTTCTTCCTCTGGCCCGTCACACAATTGGCTGCACCTGCAATGTCAAACAGTGATAAAGGGAACATTGAAAACAGACAGAAAAAAACCCCGAAACTTCACAATAATCGTCTCACTACCTTATCACAACCTCCTTTAACTTTACTGCGTTGCAAATTAATGTTTGAGCATCAACTCTGATTTCAATTCAGTTTTATTTATGCAGGGCCAAATCACAACATCAGTTGCCTCAAGGTGCTTTATATTGTAAGGTAGACCCTACAATAATGCATACAGAGAACAACCCAATAATCATATGACCCCCTGTGAGCAAACACTTTGGCGACAGTGAGAAGGAAAAACTCCCTTTTAACAGGAAGAAACCTCTGGCAGAACCAGGCTCAGGGAGGGGCGGGGCCATCTGCCGCAACTGGTTGAGGTGAGAGAATGAAGACAGGTGAGAGAATGAAAACATGCTTTGGAAGAGAGACAGCAATTAATAACAAGTATGACTCAATGCAGAGAGGTCTATTAACACATAGTGAGTGAGAAAGGTGACTGAAGAAGAACTATTCAATGCATCATGGGAATCCCCCACCAGCCTACATCTATTGCAGCATAACTAAGGGAGGATTCAGGGTCACCTGGTCCAGCCCTAACTATATGCTT